GAACTAGAGGGTATCATGCTTAGCAAAATGTGGGAGGCCATGGTTAAGGCTTGAGACAAGAACCAAACCAGGCCCTGACTTGTGCCTCCTTTAAATGCTGAATAGCCGAACGAAAGGCTTAGGTCGATAAAGTCGAGTAGCACTGAGAAAGGGTCTGTGCTGTGTTGTGCGCTCGCCTACGTGACATCCCACACATTCGCTAGTCAGATAGAGACGATTTGGTCGGGGTCAGAAATTCTTGGCTGGTCCTTGCTGTCCTTGCACGGGCTATAGACTACACCACTGTAAGACTGTGCTATGCTTACATAAACTATGTCTTGAGTGGCCTTGAAGTCAGTACATCTGGCGCTAGAGGGTCTGCTATTGGTGCTTGGGAAATAGATAATGGGAAAGCTTGAAGGATTTTCTGTGCATGTTACAAACTCTTTAGTAATCAGCTAAAAATAAATACTTTTCTTATGATTGTTTCTGTTAGCTATAAAATGCCTCACAGCCTTGAATAAAATTGGCACTATTGGGCATCCTCCTTGGTGCTCCTCCTGTCCCCATCTCTTTGTCTCTCAATTTCTTTTCAGCATCCTCTTACCCTCACGTTCCTGGTCGATTTGTCGCGCCGGCCATGACAGCAAAATAAGTTAATTGGAGAAAGACAACTATCATATGATCTCCCTGATATGATGGAGAGGAGATGCAACATGGGGGACTAAGGGGGTAGGAGAAGAGTAAATGAAACAAGATGGGATTGGGAGGGAGACAAACCATAAGTGACTCTTAATCTCACAAAACAAACTGAGGGTTGATGGGGAGACAGGGGGTGGTTATGGACATTGGGGAGGGTATGTGCTATGGTGAGTGCTGTGAAGTGTGTAAACCTGGCAATTCACAGACCTGTACCCCTGGGGATAAAAATATATTATATGTTTATAAAAAATAAAATAAAATAAAATAAAAAAATATATATATCCTATATAAACTTTTTTTTTTTTTTCACTGCAAGAGGTTGCGGTGGAGAGGTTATATATACTCTGGTGTTCTGAGCCTCAAGAAAGAGGCTCTAATGGAACTCACAGGGGAATCCATGTACCCTGGATGAGTCAGTCCTCTCTGCCATTAAGACATTGGGATAGGGAAGACTGGTGGTGCCCCTTTCCTGATGCTAGTTGTCCTAAAACTTTCCTTCCCACCAAAGTATATAGCAATGAAGATACAGGAATTTTTCTTGATATAGTAGTAGTGGGAAATGTGTGCATAGGGCTATATGGTTCATACAAAATTTTACAGCTGCTCTCTTTTTTTTAATTATTCCAAAGCTCTTCAAATAGCCATTATTAAGAAATGGAAACAGGCTTAGGGAAGTTATTTTTGCCAAAGTTATTTAGCTAGCAAATGTCATTTTCCAAACTTTTACAAGACCCACTCCCACCTGTGCCTTTCATCTGCATTTAAAAGGCACTCCTTATACACTATGGAGACTTATGCCTCCATCAGAAAGGATGAATACCCAACTTTTGTAGCAACATGGACGGTACTGGAAGAGATTATTCTAAGTGAAATAAGTCAAGCAGAGAGAGTCAAGTATCATATGGTTTCACTTATTTGTGGAGCATAACAAATAATAAGGAGGCCATAGGGAGGTGGAGAGGAGAAGGGAGATGAGGGAAATTGGAAGGGGAGATGAACCATGAGAGACTATGGACTCTGAAAAACAATCTGAGGGTTTTGAAGGGGCGCGGGGTGGGAGGTTGGGGGAGCCAGGTGGTGGGTATTATGGAATGCACATATGTCATGGAGCACTGGGTATGGTGCATAAACAATGAATTCTGTTACGCTGAAAAGAAATTAATAAAAAAAAAAAATAAAAATAAAAAATAAAAGGCACTCCTTTCCAATTCATAAGAGTGCTAGAAACTCATAGCTTCTTAAAGGTAGAAAGAATCTTAGGGGCCACCCCTCCATATTTATACCCTGTACAGTAATCCCTGACACTGTGTTCATGTGTATCCATCCTGCTTTATTTGAATATCCCGGCAATAGGCACTTTATTCTTTCCTCGGGCTGCCCCATTCATTATTGATGGATCTAATTATTATTGCCTCCATACAAATGTCTAGTACCAGTGAATGTGCATTGATAACCTAATTCCTGTCTAAGTGTTAGTGACAGTGCCATCATTTCTGAGAGTATTTTCATTTAAAAAAAAAAAAATCTTCCAGAGCACAAAATACTTTAACATAGCAAAAAATATAGAGGAGTAGTAGCAGGCATCGGTAGACTAATAAGGGTTATGTTAGGGTCCTACTGCCTTCTGGAGCCTCTCAGTCCTTAGTACATAAGGAACTCCTAGTCTGTCTTATGACCTCATCCCCAGCACCTTCTCCTGCCACCCTATCTTAGTTACACACTCATCATGGTGGAAAGTAGTAACAGAAATTATTACCATACCTATTAAGGTAAGGGCCACTTAAGAACCTAGAAATGTACCTGGGAACTAGTGAGAAAATAGCATTCCCCATCCTACTAAATTGTTAGAAAATGGGCAGCACACACACACACACACAAAAGTATACCTTGTTAGAAGCCTTGAAATAAGAAATGCTGAAAAATTGCATGGTAGTGTACTCATTGATTTAGTCCTTCAACAAATGTTTATTAAGCACTTAATTAGTGCCACATGTTAAATATGGTGTTGAGGATATAATGATGAGCAAAACCAGTCATGCCTCTGTGGTTGTAGAGTACACAGTCTAGAAGGGAGACCAGATACTCATTTTAAAAATTAGAAGCAAATGTGAAATTATACCTGAGATTTGTTGTCTCAAAAAGTGATTTTTGCATGTTGAGAAGATTCAGGCTAAGTGGAAGAAATCTGAGAATTTGATTTGTCTGATATATGAAGAAGACTAGAAGCATATTATGAAAAAAGTGGAGGGCAGGGGTATGGGAAAGTTTTTCCTTCCATAAAGGTAGCAGCATGTTCAAGGGCCTCATATAGATTCATGGTGGCTGCCTGTAATCATGTTAATACAGGGATTCTGAGTCATGTCTTTATCAAGTCCCATTTCCTCCTTCTCCTGTGCTCAGTCTCTAACTCAGTTCTAATGTTTGGTTACTCTACTTTCCTCCTTTGTCTTGGGAACCAAGAAAGGCTATGTCCTATTGATGCTAGAAAGTACTTTGAGATACACTTTCCTCTTGTGCATTAACAGTGGAAGTGTCCATTAATGGCATTTACCCTGGCAGGTGGTTCTGCCTTGAGTGAATTCTAGAGCTATTTCTTCTTTTTCAGCTCTTAAAAACAATTTCATATGAACTGGTGCTTTGCAAATCCATGCACAATTTAGGCAAATCCATACATTTGCTTTAGAAATTTGAAAGGAAACCCTTCCATTTATCAACATCTCTGCTGCTTTTCAGTTTCATTAAAGGAGAACAAAAACAAACCTACAGAATAAATAAAAAACACCTATCTTGACACTATTCAATGTTAACTTCAAGACCTTCAGGTTTTTAAGTTCTGGGAAATCGGGCCGCAGAACTTCATTTCACATATCGCATGCTACCCAAGAAAATGAAATATTTAGAAGCTAGAGATTGCTGGAGGCATGAAAAATACCAGTGTTTGCAAAAACTTATAATAGTAAAATATTTACAGTCTTCCCAAATGGAATATTAATAAAAGTATCAGCAGGTAGAGCTTTGGGGTCAGATCTGAGTCATATTGGCTGTTCCATGATTTTTGACATATGGGAGAAATTACCAAGAATGATGCCAATTTTTATTTATGGTTTATGTTAGTCTTTGGGCAAGTTTGAAGAAGTATTTTAAATGAATACTGGCATACATTCATTCATTTACTTTAAAGGCATTGAACTTCCCAACTGATGAAAAAATATACCCTTCTAAGCTATAGAGTAACTCAGATGTCTGTACTTAAAGGGCAAAAGGAAGATCAGTAAGATTGGCTACAAATAAAAGATATATATGGAGTCTTTCCACAAGCATGTAAACTGTTAATGAATCTCTAGTGCCTGATGCAGAGTAAGATAAAATCCAACCTGGATGCATAGCAGAGGAATATGCTAGTTCTGTGGAGTGCCTAATATGTGCCTATTTGCTGCCTATTTTGTACATATCAGGCTCTTTAATATTCACAAAGAAACTTCATACAGCCAATGCCAGCCTGGATTACCAAGGAGGAAACTGAAGGCCGATAGGATAAGTCACTTGCAAAACATGCACATCGGAGATTTGAACTGATGTCTGTCTGACTTAGAGATGCCTTCTCTGTTTTCTACAGCCTAGAAGTATTGATTGAAAGGACAACTAATTCTCTGTACTTTTTCTGTTCCCTAGTTCAACACCCACAGGAGACCTTTGCTTTGGAAATTTTTCAGCAACCATTTTTGAGATTATTGGAGACTTGGAGGGTCCAACTCTTCTGTCATGACTCTCAGCAGAGAGCAATATGTTTGATGTAATGTCTCTGCCCCCAATTTGAAATAGTTTTCTTTCTTCTAAATGTGTTGACCCAGATTCCAACAAACACTCTCTCCTGATTTCAAATCAGGTATTACCTCCTCATAATGTATCACTTTTGGTACAGACATCTTGTGGTCTAGAGTATGAGGGACTCTTAAAAAAGAGTGTCTGGAGGAGGATTTAATGGCCCCTTCGCATGGTCTCCTTTTAAATGTCTGGGTAGAAATGGAAGGTCATAGAGCTTGTGACTCAGTAGTGGTCACACAGCTGGTGAGTGGCTGAACCAGGACTTTAATTCAGGTCTTTCTAACTTTAATCTCTTATTTCTTTTTGCCAATTCCTAATAGTAGGAATCACTCTTATACTTTCTTGTATTTTCCTAAGTATTTGGTATAGGCTTGATTACATGGCATCTATCTAAATAAATAACATTTTTGGGGGCGCCTGGATGGTTCAGTTGGTTGGGCATCTGACTTCAGCTCAGGTCATGATCTCGGGGTCCTGGGGTTGAGCCCCACCTCAGGCTCCCTGCTCAGTACAGAGTCTGCTTGTCCCTCTCCCTCTGCCCCTTCCCCTCTCCCCCCTAAATAAATAAATAAAATCTTTAAAAAAATAAAGTAAAATAGCTCCAGTCATTGAGCCACAGCCAAGGACTCAGGATCCTCCTCCTTGAGCTCCTTTACTTCCCAACAAATCTATCCCCTCCCTCCCTCTCCCACTACTGTCTTCTGTAGGCCATTTCCACGGAGGAAAAGGAATCCTATCATATTTCCGCTATCCAGAATCTCCACTCTTTTTTTTTTTAAGATTTTATTTATTTATTTGACAGAGATCACAAGTAGGCAGAGAGGCAGGCAGAGAGAGAGGAGGAAGCAGGCTCCCTGCTGAGCAAAGAACCCCACATGGGGCTCCATCCCAGGACCCTGGGATCATGACCTGAGATGAAGGCAGGGGCTTTAACCCACTGAGCCACCCAGGCACTCCACAGAATCTCTACTCTTTTGACCCTTTTGCTGATGCAAGGAAAGGTGATTATCTGCTTCCTCCTGCCGCTGAGGATTATATCCATATAAGAATTCAACAGAGAAATGGCAGGAAGACCCTTACCATTGTCCAGGGGACTGCTCAGTTATGATAAAAAGAAACCATTAAGGGTGTTTAAGAACAAATTTGCCTGCAGTGACACTGTAATTGAGCCTTCAGAATATGGAGAAATAATTCAGCTACAGGATGACCAGCGCAAGAACATATACCAGTTCCTCATAGAGACTGGACTGGCTAAGGACGACCAGCTTAAGGCTCATGGGTTTGTTTTTTTTTTTTTTTTTTTTTTAAATTTTATTTATTTATTTGACAGAGAGATCACAAGCAGGCAGAGAGAGAGGAGGAAGTAGGCAGAGAGAGAGGAGGAAGCAGGCTCCCCTAGAGAGCAGAGAGCACGATGCGGGGCTCGATCCCAGGACTCTGAGATCATGACCTGAGCCGAAGGCAGCGGCTTAACCCACTGAGCCACCCAGGTGCCCCAAGGCTCATGGGTTTTAAGTGGTTTTGGCTCACTGAAGCTTAAGTGAGGATCTCCTTGCAATCAATAGAATTTCCCTTCTGTCCCTTATCACAAGCTTAAAAACCTCACAGCTTGTATAATGTAACCATCTGAGGTCTGCTTTTAACTTGGACTAGTGTAACTCCTTCATACTACAAACTGAAAAGAGCCATAAAAAATAAAAATAAAATAAATAACATTTTTAAAAAGCTTTTGAATTATTAACTGACTTTCAAAATAGTAAGCAGGCTTAAATCATTTAGAAGGAATAGGGGAAGAAAACAGCAAGTACAAAGACCCAAATATGTATGAAGGAATAGCGTGCACAAGAAATGTTCCTTTTGAAGACTTCATTTGTACCTTAATTTACAGCATTCATCATACTCTGCTATACATTTATAATAATGAGTCTATCTTCTCAACTAGGTTGTCAGCATGTTCCATGTTTCATTTCTGCATAATCCAAGTGGCCAGGACAAAGTAGACTTTCTCACTGTGCTTACTGCATGGGTTGGAATTATAGATGTATGCCAAAGCAGGGCAGTGAACACTACCCTCTCCTGAAGCTGGGCGGTACTGTAGGCGTATGAGTTTTTGAGTTAAGGAGATTCTCCTTTATCTAGATGTGTGCCTTAGTTGCTCAACTGTGAAATGGAGCTAATAATACTTTGCTTGCTGAGTGGCTGAGAGAACTCAGAGAGAAATGAAAAACTTAGCTATGTTGCCCATCATAAACTTGAATGAAACAAATTTCAGGGGTCCCTATCATGCCCTCTTTTCTTGCTCCTCAAACAAAGGCTTGAGGAGTCTGGCTCTCACTGAGCCAAATTGTCCTCTCTCAGCATCCCATGCAGGGACTGCAAGCCTGCATTCCCTATAATTATTTTTCATCTCCCAATTGGCTACTACATTTGACTCCAAGAATAGAGCCATTTTGAAGTGTTTCTCCCCTGCCCCATCATCTGTGCTCTGTTTGACTCTTATCTAATATGGATGGGGATGTTTCGTGCCTTCAACTTAGCTGTTACTCTCTTAAGTCAAACAGGCTGCTTTCTTTCCAGGTCCCCACTAGAGTAATTCACTCCCAATTCATACCTGAGGGTGCCTTTATTGTTCTCTTTAAATAAACTCATTCTGTTCTCCAAGCAGCCATTTCTTTTGAACTCTATCAACCCCACAAAATGAGACTAGAGGCTGCTGGCAAGACAGTACATTTCTTTTGCAGAAATTGAAATAACTTTATATATTAATAACTGGTGGCTGCTCCAGGAGACTCATTTATAATCAGAGCTACATAATCCTTTCTTCTTTGCAAAGAAAGGAAATTCAATATGTTTATGGTTCTAGATCTTTCATAATACTAAACATTTTATCTATATTACCTTCTCAACTGTTATGCTGAGTCAATATACATATGCATATACATATTACAAACGTAATATATACATATATGTTACATATATATACAACCATATATATATATATATATGGGTATTTATATTTTATATATTCACATATGTATCCTCGTCCGCCATGTCTTCCAGTACAAAATGGAGGCCAAGTATGAGCTCCCGCATTTCTCCTCATGCAATTCCAGATGTAGGTTGTATGCAGGAATGAGATGGAACTTATGGGAAAGTGAAAGTGTCATTATAAAATAAAATCTATTTAGTCTTAGGCAATATACTTAATTTTTTCAGCTTGACTTCCTTATATGTACCATAAATAGCCTAAATTACATGATCTCTGAAACCTTTTCTAGTCTTAAGATTCCACGATTTTATAGGTTTTTAGATTATGTAAAGTTATGTAAGAATATATAAAAATGATTCTCTCTATTATCCCACCTGACTGTGAGCTCCTAGAAGTCAGGTACTTTTTCTTCTTCACTTTTCTGTATCTAATACCTAGAGTAATGTCCTGTACATACAAAGTCTTTAACACATATTTGTTAAATGAATAAAAAATATAATATTCTATTACTCATAATTTATATGTTTAATATAGTTATTATAGCCAATAAATACTCATTATGCCTTTAATATTATGAAGTTCTATAAGTTAGTGGGACTTTGGAGGAAAGATATGCTATCTGCCCTTAAGTACAACATATTCTGGCAGCAAAAATAATAGAAAAACAAATACACACACAGAGTATAGAATATTGTCATGTATGAGGGTGCTATGATGTAGGAGAACGATTATGAGCTTTGGAGTCAGAACAATGCGGGTTTGAATCTAGACACTGGTATTTAGCTACTCTGTCAGCTTGGAAGGCTCACTTGGCTTTTCTGTATGCTTCTTTTACAAAATTAGAGATTATACTTCTGTTTCAGAAAACTTATGAGGATTATACTGTATGATACACGCTAACCACTCACATTGCAGGTGCGCAGAAATCCTATCATTATTAATATCACTACCAACGCACACGCAGTTGGGAAAAAGTCTAGTCTGAACAAGTGAGGAATAGCTTTTCAGATGAGTAGATCTTGAGCTGATTCTTGAAAGATAAGAAGAAATAAAGCAGGAAAGAGCAGATCGTTAATCCAGGGCAGAGGAAAGAGCACATGCATTTTGGGAGGTTGTGGGTGTTGGTGGCAAGTAGTTCTGTTCGGCTCCAGCAAAGTGAAAGTTCCCTGAAGGAATCTACGAGAGCAGACGGAGGCTGGAGTGAGCTCAGGGGCTCCTCTGCCTGTGTCTTCTCTCTTCCTTCTGTACTTACTGGGCAGAGGCCTCCGCAGTGATTTCCTGACCTAACAACCAAGAGTACTTTCATTTGGAGAAAAACATAAGGTCATATTCTTTTTACACATATATTTTCAGACTTTGGAAACTATTGTTGGTAAGGGGAAAACAAAGCTATTAGTGAATGCTGTGTTCTGTGTGGTTTTCCCTTTAGAGCTACATGAAAGCTAATTAGGGAGAAATCTTTTCCTTAAAGTAGTGTTTCTGCCTCGAGCACTGCAACCCTGTACTTGCAGACAGCACTAATTGCTAGTGGTTATCTCCCTGGACATAGATAGCCCTTGTCTTCGTTGTCCTTTTGTTCTATCAGTTGGGTGGTGCAGTACTTAATTCCACCTGTCAGGCTACTAATGCATGGGACTAAGTATTTGAGAAGTTAGTTCTAATATATTACATGTGGGACAAAGTAATCTTTGAAACAATCCAAGCCTCTTCCTCCTCCTTCCCTTATAGCAATGCTGGGTCTTATTCCTTACATGATGCCAGATGTGGGGAAGGAGTAGGTAGGGAAGGCTCTTCTCTAAACACCTTGCTCTTGAAGGTTTACCAGAAGGCAGCTGATGAAGAAGGGAAAGCATGTTTGTGTAGCAGTGATGCCTTTACATGCACGATCTATTCATTCCTCCTAACTTCCCTTCAAGGTGTGCATTCTAATCCTCATTCAACAAAGAGAGAACTGAGGGTCAGAGAGACTAAGCAGTATGTCCACGGTCACAAAGCTAGTGGTAGGACCGGTATTCAGACACAGGCTGTCTAACTCGACAGCTGATACTCTTTCATTATCACAGTACTCTCTCCTTTCCCTGGCTGTTCATAACGTACTCTATTTCATCAATTACAAGACACATTTTTTGTTTTTGTTTTTGTTTTTATTTTTAATGTTATGAGCCTATCTGAAAAGGACACACATAGTATGCTGTAGTTGCTATTAGCAAAAGAGAGTTAGATGTCATTGCCTGTGTGTGCACAAACTTGGGTGTTGTTCTTAAAGCACAATTTAATGATGGCAGTCTACTTGATGTTTTTACCACAAGTCACTTAAGGAACATTTAGTGAAAGGATGGGTCTTAGTTGTTTTCTGAAAACCTTCCCTCATACCATTGCTACCGTTATGACATGTAGAAAGAGAGTCTGGAGTTTGGAAGAAAATCTCAAAGAAAATATTAGAGCACTTTTCAGAAATGTTGCATCACCAACGCCCTTGATGGTACAAGAATATTGTACAGAAAAGTGGTAATTACAAAGATTCTTAGACCAAAGTTACTGAGAATAGTCAAACTGGTTGTGCTCATATTGCTACTATATTTTTGCTTGTATTACTAAGTTCCTTTATTTTCTTATTTTGTAAATTGCTATATGCTAAAAATCTATGTTTGAAACAGACCCCACATGGTCCTCGGATTCATTCATGAGTTTGCTGTCTCACTTTAGCCAGATGTGTTTCCCATAACAAGTCTGGCTATGACAAAACTAGCCACCATGTTTTTGACATCCTATTGTCTTCCAGTGGTGTGCTGCAGCATAAATTGTATGCTTAATCCTAACAACAATCTTGTCAAGTAGTTATTATCTTCCTGATTTTACAGAAGAGGAAATTAGAATTAAAGAGGTTATATAATTTGCCCACGTTCATACCGCTAGGAAGCGATGGGATTTTTAACCCAGGGTTTTCAGACTTAACGATCCTGCTGTTAAATATCACATTCTATTATATTTCAAAAATTTTCTGGACATGACCCTTGAGGTACAGCACTTTGCAGAGCACATGCAAGTACTAGTCAGTTTCTGGCCAATTAAATAACAAATTTCTGTTTTGCCCGCTGGAGCAAGAAGGCAAGAGTAGCCAGAGCAACAGTGAGTGATTAAGACCCCCAGCTTTTTTACAGCACAGGGGGATCGGGCAGACTTTGGAGTCAAACATACCTAGGTTTGAATCTCTAATATGCCACTCATGAACCGCAAGAACTTGGCAAGTCATGTAGCCTCTCAGAGTCTCATTTTTATGTAAAAGGGGT